AACAAGAATTTGAGCCAGTAAATTTTAAAGAAAAAAACTTTGAAAATGATCCAAATTATAATGAAAAATGTGAAGTTCTTGATGGACCTGTAATCAATGTGTCTAATTCAAACGATATCCATGCGAATAATGATCCAAAAAATTGGCCATCTAAGAAAAAATGGTTTATCTTGTCTATAGTGGTTGTTTCAGGAATGTTGTCGCCCATTGCTAGCACGTGAGTACTTTATTTAATTATACATCCGAGTTGTAATTGACAATTATTTATACTGTATTAAATACGTGATCTATAGGATTCTTTACCCGGCAATGTTAACATTACGTCAAGAATTAAATACCACTGAAATAGTTGTCAATTCATTAAGTAATATATTAATATTTATATCAACATGGGCAAAATTTTTTACAAGAACATAAAGTTAATTATTCATTTATGCTTTAAAAGTTTCAATGTTCATATTTTGCATGGGAATCGCGGTAAGACTCTATATTATTAGATTTATAAAATATATAAGGAAATCGAATTTTTGTTTTTATAAGAATTATGAACTTTTAGCAGGTCTAAAACGAGCAATTGAAAATTCTAGCGTATCATATTCTTGATTTATATTATATTAAAATTTAGCCTTAACTTGTTTTTAATATATCATAAAAAGACTAATAAAAAGAATAAATTTCAATTGCTTATTCTAGTCCTGTTCTTTAAATATATTTCCTTTTAACAAGACTTATTAATTACCTCTTAATATCATATTCTAGCCTATAGTATGGGCCGCATACTCTGATGAATTTGCAACGAGACGTAAAGTGTATTTAGCCTCTCTTATGGTATTCATCATATCGACCATAATATGTGCAGTGGCCAAAAGCATTTGGTTGTTAATGATAATGCGTGCTATTCAAGCTTGTGGTTCGTCTGCTGTATTATCTATTGGCGCTGGAATTATAAGTGATATTTATGATCCAATTGGTAATATATATTTATTGTATAATATATCAATTTAAATTTTTTTTTCATTTTAATATTTAAAATTTATTTTCAAATTGGTTTCATTTTAATAGAAAGAGGTAACGCGTATGGAATATTTTACTTAGCTTATTGGATTGGACCATTTTTAGGTCCAATGTGTGGTGGATACCTTACCGAATTCCTCGGTTGGAGATGGATGTTTTGGTTTTTAGCCATATACGGTGGTATCATATTTTTATTAATTATACTCTTTCTACCTGAAACT